CGTGGACAGCCCATTTGCCTTTAGTAAATCGACCCTATGGGCTCTACTTTTTACTTTGTAATGCTTTTTTCCGCCCAAGAATTACACAACTTTCACTTAATATTTATACATTTCTATAATTGAATTCTTTGAATTGTGAATCTTGGGTGAAAGCATCTCCTATGAGTCAGCCAACTCATTAAAAATAATTCACCTATTATCTGGCTGGTATCTTATCTCAGTTGTAAAGTTGGGTATACATGGTTATGTCTTCTTAATTCAACCTGCGGGCTGACTGGAGAAAATATAACAGATTCCTCCATTAACGCTTATGACTCTGGATGGAGGAATCCCCTTCTGTTTTGCACCGTATGCTGACAGTGGCCACCAGCCGTTGCAAGCTCCATTCAGCCACTATGCTCTGATTGGCTGAAAGCTCCATTCAGCGGAGTATTTTCCAACCTGCGCCTTTCATCAACTGATTGAGGGATGCTGGGCAGGAGGATGCCGACGGGGCACCCATTGTGCGAATTTTGGCCAATTCATCAAGAACCGGCTGCAATTCACACCATGTATTGCCTACTTTAGGTAGTAAGCAGACTGAAAACTGAGAGCTCTATATAGTGGCAAATCTACATATATCTACATTTACTGCAATAAGGAAAATATGGAAGAGCAAACATGTAAAAAAATGTGAAAGTCACATCAAAAGTTAGCATAAGAAAAACTCTGCAAAAAGAATTTTAAATATGTGCTTACTATACTTTACCATTAAGCTAAAATTAGATATTATTACAGATAGTGTTTTATGAGATCATAAGGAAATGTGCTCCCTAATGGATTACCAACCATTTTAGAAATAAAGAATACAGTTTAGAAAATCTAATAGCTTGTACTTTTCCTGAGAATAACTTATGGGTTGCACTGCTTCATGTGAGAGTGCAATGTCTCCAGAACAGCCAGACTCTCTTAGCGCAGCTGACAATAATATAAATATTTATTTACACAGCTCCGGGCAAAGTACATTTCTGAAAAGCTTGCAAAAGAATATTCCCATTACACAAATAAAGTAGGTGCTGAAAATCAGATATGGAAGGAAATCCATCAAGAAATAAAGCTTTATTTGGCACTCGGCTGACAAACCCATCAGTGATCCAACAAGCTGATAAAAGACAGGCTCAGTACAGACCCGGTTATTTACAACAAAGCAGACTAGTACGTCAAAGCCATTTATTCCTTAAATGACTAATAAGCTATGTTTAGAGGTGAAATCAAGTAAATTACAACAGTTAATTATGTAGCGGTTGTACACCGAATAGCTCAATTAAGCTCAAGTCATCTCTCCTAATTTAAAATCAGGCCATAAAGTGAAACGTTATGAAATTGCAGACAGGCTTGATAACAAAGGGAATTATAGATGTCTGTAGGTTTGTTCATATACATTTGCAAACAGCCATTCAGCTTCTGAAGTTGCACTTGGCTCTACTCTATCTTTGCACCTAACTATTGCTTGCACAGTGGCAGAAACATAAGTTACTATTTTTGCATATAAAAGCACCCTAGACTTTGGGGCTTCCACATTGAAAACCACCCAACATGAAGGCAGGGTGTCATACACCTGCCTCCCGAGAGACCATCATCACGGTGCCCGGCAGTCACATTCATTGAAGCAGAGAGTGGGGCTGATGTTATCACATCCCCAGATTGAAGATTTCCAGGAAGTAATAAGAGATGGATTAATCTGCCCTTAGCAAAAATGGCCACTGTAAGAAGAATGAAGGGGGAAAGAAGTATAAGGTATGCACAGAATAAAAAGACTGCAATTTTCTGTAGGTATCTGTTTGTAGATTGTCATTACTAAACATTTCTAAAGGCGCCTTTGTTGTCATTTTTAAGATAATGATGAAGTTCCTCGTTAAGGAGCATTGGCTACCTGGCACCTGGGATTTGTCCAGCCCTGCTTTAACCTGCTAACAAATTGGTCTAAAGCTGGCAAAACACGTCTCAAATTTGGGATGAATTTTGAGCCGTGGGTGGCCCTGTTGGTACGCACTGTTTAGCATGGATGGGGGAATCAACAGTATAGGTGACCACATACTTCTTATATTAAAAGAAAATTCACATGCATGACTATTAGGACCACACTCCCCATAAACCATAATAATTCCAAAGAAATGGTTTAATTTTTTTTGACCTATGCCATTCCTAATACTATCCCATCTAGCAATACCAGTTCATAGAGGCTTTTGTAAGCTCTTTATTGCACCCTCTTTTTTTGTATCATAGCTCTCTAGGAATTCCTGGAAAGCAGCTGTGAAAACCACGTGTGAAAATAGACTTTTCCTTCATTGCAATACCTTTGTACAAAATGTTTGCCTGGATACAAAGACATCATCCATCCTTTCCTAATTGGCTGGGATTATTTGTTAATTTCTGCTGGATAAGGTCAGCCAAAAGAAAAAATAGCTAATTCCAGCTAGTCGGAGAAAGGATATAACTGTATCCAAGCAGACATACTGTACAGGGACTGCAGAGACAGCTTCTTAAGGTAAAGTTGATTTTTACACAGAGCTTTCCCATCTGCTTTATAGGGATTGCTACAGAGCTATGGTATGACAGAGGAAGCAATAAAGAGCTTACAACAGTCTCTATGCATAGGTATTGTTAGAAGGGATAGCAAGAGGAAGAGGCATGGTATGTGTTACTTTCATTTGCATTTAGGTTAAAGCAAAAACAATACTCACCTCCAGCTATGCGATGTCCGCAAGCTCCCTCCATGGAAACATTAAAATAATTTGGAAAGGGATAAAGGATTGTTCACTCCAGGGGATGTAAAAAAATAAACTTATAAGCAGTGGCGACGCTAGGAACAATATGTAGGGGGGGCACATAAGATACAACAGTCAAATCTGGGGGGGCACTAATAATTTTCATTGCATGTCGCAACCGCTGGGCGCCGAGAGCTGATTTAATTGCGGTTGGCATCTGCGCCCTGCGGTTCCGACATGTAGTCCAACGCCGCCCACAATCCTGAATACCGCAACCGATGACGCCATCCGCAATTAAATCAGCTCTCAGCGCCCAGTAGGTACGGAATACAGCAGGGGCTGACTGGCAGCTTTTAGCCTAAGGGGCAAGTACAACCCAGAGGCCCATGGTGCAGCTACTTGGCCCCCCTCCCGCTCTGCCTCTTCCCCTGCCTTCTCCCCACCCCTGCCTGCCCCTTTTGCCATCCATGTAACAGTAGTGTGAATGGTTGGGTGATGTGAGAACTCCTAGGAAGCCCATGAAAGGGGTGACAGGCTGGGGGATGGTGCTCTCCTCCCACTGGGCTCCCCACATAGTTCTGGCCTTACTCCGCTCTATGTCTGGTACATAGGCACTCTCACCCACTGTAGACCGACGCTGGCTGTCAGACATGTTAGAGGGCAGCCCGCTGGGGCCTCTTGAGGACCCCCTCGAGGAGTGAGCAGTCGCTCGATTACAGAGCTGTAGCGTTGCAGGTGGTGGAGGGAGGGAGCAACTGCACCTGCGGCCAGGGGCTTCATTTAGCCAGGTCAGTCCACCCCTGGATCCGCCACTCAGGGCCGGTGCAAGGATTTTTGCCTACACAGGCGAAGGTGGATTTTTATAAAGAAGTATAACAAAGCACTAGAGGTTAAATTCATTAAAGGTATAATTGTGGAT